GTATTGTCCGAATAATACAGCGATTTCACTTTTTTAAAGAAATTCAATGTTTGGAGTTGGGAAAGGACTTACCTACAAACAGCAACCTCCTTAGCTTGTGTCCAATTTTAGATGACAACAAAGTGTTACGTGTAGGAGGAAGACTGAAAAATGCGCAACTATCAGAAAATGAAAAACATCCAATCTTATTACCTTCAAAACACAATCTGACAGAAATCATAATTAGACACTTTCATGTCAAATATCTGCATGCAGCACCGGAACTTCTTCTATCTTTAATTAGACAGCAATTTTGGATCATAGCTGCTAGATCTGCTATCCGAAAAGTAGTAAAATCTTGTATCACGTGTTGCAAACTTAGAGCTAAAACTGCAAGTCAAATAATGGCTGATCTACCGGAATCTAGAGTAACACAATCGCGACCATTTCATCGAACTGGAATAGATTTTTCTGGACCGTTCATGATTAAACATCGTGCAGGACGTGGACAAAAATCATTTAAATATTACGTATGCTTATTTGTGTGTTTTTGTAATCAAGGCAGTACATCTTGAAGTGGTAGAAGATTTGTCAACAAAGGCATTTTTAAGTGCATTGAAACGATTTATTGCAAGAAGAGGGAAACCATTTGAGATTTATAGTGACTGCGGTACTAACTTTAAAGGTGCAGACAAAGAAATCAGAAAATGTTTTTTGCAATGTAAGCAAAATCAAGAAATTCACAAATTTTTGTCTTTAGAGGAAATAAAATGGATATTCAACCCGCCATCATCTCCCCATTTTGGTGGACTATGGGAATCGGCAGTAAAGTCAATGAAATTACATCTAAAAAGGACTGTTGGTGATACTGTGCTGACCTATCCGGAATTTCAGACCTTGATAGCGCAGGTTGAGGCTTGTCTCAACTCTAGGCCATTGTGTCCAACATCGGCTGATCCAAATGATTTAACTGCATTAACACCTGGTCATTTCCTAATAGGAACGTCTTTAACTGCCATACCTGAACCAGACCTAAATTATAGTTCCTTCAATCACATTGACAGATGGCATGTGAGACAGTTTATTTTTCAGCACTTCTGGAAAAGATGGAGTCGAGAATACCTGTCTCAGCTTCAACAAAGACCTAAATGGCAAAAAAGTCAAAACAATTTAGAAGTCAATGACTTAGTCCTCATCAAAGAAGACAACCTTCCGCCTCTTAAATGGAGGTTAGGGAGAATAATTGCTGTTCATCCGGGCTCAGATCAAAGAGTCAGAGTTGCTAGTATTAAAACTGGTCATGGTGTCATAAAACGACCAGTCGTGAAATTGTGTCCTCTTCCTATTCAGACTAAAAAACTATGAACTGCTTCGCATATAATATTTTGTATTATTTTTCTTATGTTTATCTTTATTACAGACTAAGAAGTTTCAAAATGCTCCAACTGTTGAAATCCCCTGGGATTTCAACGAGGGCCAGGATGTTTATGTGAGTATCGTTTGCTTCATTTTATTGTTGCAAACAGCGTAAATTCCTTTTGCTTTCTTCCTTTAGTTTTGAACTTTATGTGTGGCAACAAGATAATTGATCGATAGAATTGTGTTTGTGACAGCCATGTAGAATGGCTCGCTTATTTTGTATCAATTATTTCGCATCGCTGACAAGTGTAATTTAATAAAAGTGTAGGAATACAGTCCATTTGTTGATTGATTATTGTTTGTGAAATATATTAAGTTTAATATAAAACAGAGGTAGATATGAACATGGTTTAATTTTTTTCACAGCAGGGATAAGGATGACTTTTTGAATTTATATTTGCACTATGTTTATCTGAATCAAGAGGAGCAAAGCCATTTTGAATAACACTTCTTTGGCAGACAGGCTATGATCAGCTTGTATAAAACAAAATGGAAACGGTTTATATTTGGCATTATTTTTCAATAAGTTTTACTTTTAAACGTATTCTCAACTAAAAAATTTTAAGTTTTTGCTTTATAACTTTTCAATTCATCAAGGAATTAATATGCATTTAACTTTCATAAAAATTATTAGCTTTAAACCAATAGTCTGAGACTATTGCTAACTTACTTTAAAGCTAATAATCTAACAAAGTCTTCAAAGTTTGTTAACTCAGGAAATCCATACTAAAATTTTTGCTTTGCTTTCAACCCTATTATCCATGCTAAATGTTAAAAAAGCCTTAAAATATATTTATACTAAGTCATTTCACTTATCATGAAAATGGAAAGAAAATCATTATTTCATATGTGTAGCTGCTAATTTGTTAATCACTATTAAGTTTGCATAATTTTATAATGTAGTAAATTTACTGAGATATGCTTACAATTTTTTTGAATAAAAGATCATATTCTAGCTTGATTGATCTTATTTGTATGTGCATTTCACATGATACCAAAAATCAAATTCTTGCTACCTAATTTTTTAATGTTAAGTCTGTTGAAATACCAATTAGATTTTTCCTTTTCCACTGGTAAGAGATACGGTTTATTGAAATTCTCAACTGAATTTGTAATTCAGTAGAAAATTTCTTTTTTTCTCTGAGATATAGTCTCTTATAATTTTTCTCAGCTGAGAAATGTGCTTCAATATGCACTTTTTAATATTGTCACACAGCTTTGATTCATTTTCAATAATAATAAAAAATAATAAATAAATAAATAAATACAAAATAAAAAAATAATAATAATAATAAAAAAAACTGTTTTCCAAAATATGGTACATAAATTGCACTGACATGTAATGATCAAATATCTATATTTTAAAGTAACATACTAATTATCATCATAAGTCTTTAAAGGAAGATAATAACTTTACTTAAAACAGAAAAAGTGTCTCCTATTAGAACACAAACATCATTCACTTTTCATAATAAAATTTTCTTTATATTCATAATACACAAGGGGTGTTTTTTAAGTTAGGGCCGTTTGAAAATAAAAACCAAACAAAACAAAATTTTCAAAAACTAAATTTATTTTCAGATTCATAGTTTGTTTTAACACTTATCATACCTTAGAACTAAATTTTTAATACCCTCTTCATAGAAACTTGCCACCTGCTCCGATAACCAAGAGGTGACAGCTGTTTTCAAGTCCTAGACTAGACACTTCAAAAAATTTGTTTGAAAGAGATTGTGTCTGTTCTCAAGAATTTTCGCTGCAACTGAAGCGGGGGAGTCGATACTCTTCAACATTTGAAAGACACAGAACAGACCATACAAGTTACCTACACAGCTGCAACTGAGCACAGTTGTTTCCAAGGAATGCTGGGACCAACTGCAAGACATGTATTAGTGCATACATCAAAATGGCCCTTACTTAAAAACATGCTATATATATATATATAATATATATATATATATATATATATATATATATAATGTTGTATGATCTTAAATCCATTTAGTGCGAATACAAGTTATTATTACTTGCTCAATTGCTGCAAAGTTAGTTAATAATAATTTATTTCCTAAACAGTATTGATTAATTGATTATATTATCTCCTAAGTTAATTAAAGTAGAATTATTTTAAAAGTGTGCATTCTTACTGGTAAGTTATATTTTGAAAGATGTTTTGAAGTAATTTGAAAGCAAAATGTTAATAATGTTTTAACGGGGACTGGAGTTAAATCATCACGAAGAATAATATTTCAATTGTAAAAGGAAAAATTAAAACATGTAATCATTGTCATTGATCGGAAATTAGTTGACTTTTCAAGGGGAACAAACCAACTCCCGTTCAATGAACAATAATTGATAAAAATACGTAAATACGAAAGTGATATATATACATAATAAAAAAATTCCAACATTAGCCTTAAACTTAAAAAAAAAAAAAAAAAAAAAAAAAAAAAAAAACCCTTTTGAGATAGCATTACACTTTTTAATGGATTCAAATTATTCCACTATGTCCTGAATTAGTTAGCAATAATAAAAGCAAGGTTTAATTCTTACTTAATTCCCCACAAAATAAATAATCTGAATTTAATTATCTGGATTTAAAAAAATGATAATTACTACAACGACATCTTACAACCAATTTGGTATTCATTTTACAATGAGTGCAAAACAATAAGGTAGCAATCGCAATGTTTAATGTATTTGGTGATTTTGACTATTGATAATATAGTCCCATTTTTTGGGTCCAATAATGATTTTACTCATTTCATCTGCACATATCAACACCATTATCATTCAACATAAATCCAAGGGTTATTTGTGTTTATTCACATATTCATTAATATATCTAAAAATTTTTCTCCAGTACTTTTATTTATAAGATGTTTTCAAAAAACACATCTTTTTTGACCAGCAGAATTAGAAACACAGGTCTGAAAAATACTAATACTATTAAAATAATAAAACAAGCAACATCCATTAGCAGTGTTGAGGATAAGATTTTGAAACACGGTATTAAGTATTTTCAGCTTAATATTTATTTATTTATTTATTTACTTTATTAAACATTTCTTTCAATGTAAGTTGTTTAAGGTTGCTTCGTTTTTTGTGCTAATACTTTCTCTTTAATTCTATAAACAGACATAATTTCTTGTTCAGTTTACAAAGTCCCACTGTTTAAGTCCTGTAATTGCAGTGTCGAGAATACCGACTAACTTGTCAATCAAAATTTTCTCGTTTTCAATAATTTCTTCTCTGTAACTTTCTTTACTATCAGAAGCGCGCATGCATAATTTGTGACTTTGAGGTCTGGATTTAGATCATTCCGGATAATGGACGTCCGGATTATGGACTTTGTACTGTATTTGAGATAGCTTTATTTTCATTTGTATTAGGAAGTCATCTCAGTTAAAGTGCGTTTATCTTATCTTTTAGTATTGAAGGGAGGAGAGGTTATTGAGAAAAACTGCTGATTATTCAAATGCTACTAATGAAATTTGAGTAAGTGGGGGGTTTTTAACTGTGGCATAAAATAGCTAATTTATACATGGAATAAGCATAAGATCGATAATAGACAAATATTTTAAATTATGAATTTAACAAACCTGTCATATTTTTAGCAAGATTCAAAGCAGTAATTACAGCTTTCTGTACTTTTCTTGGTAGAATGGTATCTTCATCATTGCAAGCTTTTAATATGGATCCTTTATCAACATCAATAATCAGCAGCTACATGAAAAAATAGAAACTGAATAAAATAGATGTAAAACTTCTTACATAATGTATTAATATATAAGTTTTGCAGTTAAATAATTTGAGTTTATTTATAATACAAGATAATTTCAAAATAACAGCTAAAACAGAATTTTAAAATTGCATAAATTTTTACCATACATTAGTGTTGATTTCCATAAAAAAACAATATATTTTTACAGAAATTACATGAGTCTGCTTTCTTCAAAAAGAACAGTTTTTCTGGCAGAACACAGAACATTCTGCTCCTTAAAAATGAAGTGTTTTTATACCAGCTTTTCTTGAAATACATCCAGCTTTTCTAACACTATCATCATTTGAAACTGGATTTTGCTTAAACTTAAAATCAAAGTTTTACCATAAAGCAAACAGTGTTATTTCATGATTCTGCACCTATTTGCCTTTGAAATCGATAGACTCTTGACTAAAATCTACACCCAACACAAGGTTGTTGCTTTGCTAATTTAATGATTGTATTGATATTAAATCCAGATTTCACTGCAATTATAAGGTTCGATACATGCTCGTTTTAAATGCGGGTACTGATTATTAAAATACCAACATGAACTACAAAATTTTAAATTCTGAAATCTGAAGCTACTAATACATAAGAATGAGAACTTACTTCATGTTCTGAAAGCAATTCCAAAACCGTACTACAACTGTTTGTTAAAATTCCAAGAATATAAGGTGAATCTGAGCAACACTGAACTGTTAAACAATTAGGAAGAACAGGAACAATCATATGCGGCCATTCAAATGGATACAGCAAAGAAGACACTGCTTTACAGCACTGATAAAGGTTACTATGAAAAACATATAATAATTTAGAAATCATATTATTACAACATAAAATGCAAAAGATTTAAAAACTAAGAGACATGGACTTTATACTTCTGTTCTACAAATGGTGTTAAGTACAAAACTATAAACATACCTGGTAGAAGAAGAAAATAACAAAATACGACGTTCAAGCAATAAGGAAGCAACAGATTTTACAAGAATATCAACATCTAACAACTGCAATGCTCTTGTTAACTCAGCCTAAAATGTAAAAGCAATTTACAAACATAAAATGTTGTTTTTGGTACATATATATAAAATATTTTATTAATTATAAATTTGCTTTTCAGAATTATGGCAAGTAACCAAACATTATGTCATTAAATTAGATCAACTATGCATCATTTTAAAATACACATAAACTTTTTTATATATTGCTAAATACTATAATCTTTTTTATATCTTTTTGCAATTTCATTCATTTTACAGGTCAATGGTTACACAAATTTCATTCCTTTTACAGGCCAAAGGTTACACAACTCGTTATTGAGTAGGTGGTCATATTGTTATGGCTCCTCAGTGTATAAATGTGTGTAATAGACTGGACAGATTTATTATGCATAGAATGATAACACTTGCAGACAAACATAGCCATAGATTCAAAATAATTTTAGTACTGGTTAACACAATTCTTTAGATGCATAACCTTATTCACACATCATCGTGGACACAATATGCATCTCACAATTTTTGGAAGCTTACATATAGAGACATACCGTGGACCATAGACAGAAGCGAACAGCAAAGTGTTACTTTCATGCAGGCAAGCAGGAAAGCATACAACAGATACAGAAGAAGTGAGGAACACATAAAAAAGGTTTTGATTTCAATAGCAATCTTGTTCAGTGATTGGATAAGAGGTATCTGCATTGCAGCATTATATAAGATCTTACTATGTGGATTAATTTTGAAGTGCCACAGTTTAGATTCATATGTTATGACAATTCATATCTTACAATTTTAAGGATAGAAAGGGGAAGTATAAAATTAAAATGAAGAATAAAGGAGCTTTTGCAAAATTAAAGTTAGTAGTTTGCTTTCATATTTTAATCTTAGACATGTATATGTTACGGTGAAACACCGAAATCTGGAGAATGTCAACATAGTCACTTGGTGTATGTCCGAAATATTTTCCAAATACTCTTATTTATGACTGACACCAGTGAATGTCGACATTCACCATGTCGACCAATGTCGACATTCACCATGTACTAATGGTGAATGTTGAACATATAAAGAATATTATATTTCCTTCTCCGTAATTCATTCACGAAAAAACGCACTTGAGACTCAGAATAAGAACATAAGAACTTAAAACACACAGTACATTCAAAATGAGAAAGGAAAATAATAGAAATTATAAAATTACGAAATTATGTGATTCAAATCTTATTTATTGCAACAATTTAAACTATTATGACACTTTGATATGCACAAGAGGCCCTTGCTTTTACAACTGCATTTATTTGTGGAACACTTCCTTTTGGAATGGCAGCGTGTACATATACTCCTCTCTTTTCGACCTACACCAGAGCATATCTGTGATTGTCGACATACACCGGTGAGGGTCCGAATGTACAAGAATGTAAAGAAATATTCGATCTTTCACCGATGTATTTGTGAATGTTGACATTCTCCAATTTCGGTCTTTCACGGTAACATATACATGTATAAACGTAAAAGCATATTAAATACTCTTTTATTCTTCATTTATGCTACTATGCTGCTGTTTTCTCATTTACTATTTCTAAAAAATTATTGTGCATTTTCAAATATTAGCCTATCTGTATAGAAGTTGTGTGTTCTTTCTTAAAAAAATTACCGCAAACTGAAAACCCATACATAAGGCAAAATGAAAAACAATTTTCCTGCAATATTGAAACTTGTTGCCATGAGGGCAAAAATATTGCCAAGCAAGCAACAAAACAGGCGGAATATCAAATAGCTGTTAAACAAAATGCTAGATATCAATGCTATAGTTTTAACTGTGGCAAAAAGTGAAAATACTTAAAAAGAAAGATTCAGTAACACGTCAATGAATAAAAGACACCTGGTTGGAACTTGCATCTAGTTTAATTTATTTTACAAAACAAGCAAGAGGTATCTAAAGAACTTTCTAAGGGAAACTGGCTCATATCCACATTATACGTAGGAAAAAACCCCACAAAAATACATATGCAGCCAGCCTGTTTGCCTGGAAATTAATTAACAGTGTTCATTGATTTTACCACTTGGTCACTGGTGGGCATAGAAATTCTGTTTGTAGTTCGAGCTTTTAAAAAGTGCTTCATCAACAACTGTATGGATGGCAGTGTGAATGATTTTGTACTTGGAGGATATTAATTCTAGTACAGAAAGTACTGAAAGTGATGATGATGATACACATACACATATCCCAATGAGTAAAAGTGAATTTTACGAACTATTCAAAATCCAATGATTTTCTACTATTATTTCTCGTGAACATTTTGGTACTTTTCCTTAGCTAAATGCATATTTCACCAACATCAGATTTTTCATTTTGGGGATGATGAAACCAACCAACAATACAATCAATTTTGAAAATGAAACAACTCTTTTCATACAACAAATGACTCATTTCATTTAAAATTAACTTTTTTCTTTTGGAAACTTAGGAATTATAAACTAAAGAAATAGAAAAGTGCTATATTTGGCAATTTATTACTTGCATCCAGCTAAAAGAAAAGTACCAATGTTTTTTGCAAAATTAGTGGAAATTTTGTTTTTTTGCAAATTATAATCCAACCCCATAATTTAGCTTTAGAAAAAGCTCCAAAAATTCTTGGCTTATGCATGGAAATATTACAGCACTTATATTATTACTAAAAATTACTCACTATATATCATTTTGCATAAAATGTGAATTAAAACGCTCTAGGATGGGGCAAAATTAGCCTAAAACTGCTAAAAGCTGTTTTACTAGAAATGATGCAACCAAATCGCATTTTTTTGGGGGGGAGGGTAGGAATTTAACTTTTGGCCTTTGTTTCTGCTCAGCATTACGCATTTTAACTTTTTATAGCAATAATGTGTAATATCTATTCTTTGGAGCATTACAGAAAAATCACATTACAATTCAAAACTCTCAATGTGAAAAATTGTTTAAGTTTGTTTAAAAATGTTTAAAAATGGAAAATTTATGTTTCAATACCAACACATAATTTCAAACTTGTAGCTCATTTTCAGGGGTCAAACAATTACAGAAATAGTTTAATGTATAGCAGCATTTTCAGATGATAGTTTTCACATACTTTAAATTTGTATAGTCTACATATGGATACAAAAAAGTATAAGGAAAAGGCCCTGAGATATAAAACTGTTGCAAAATTTTCTGGTCTGAAGAATTATAAATCTCAGTATTTTAATAACTGGCTTATACAGTCAAAAGTCTTTAATCCGGACTCGTCGGGACTTCAGCGATTCCAGATTATAGATCATCATTTAAATCTGGTAAGATGGCATGCAGAAATTATAAAATAAAAATATGAAACCGTAAGTTTATGAAATAAAGAGCAATTATGATCTAAAGGGTATCAAAATTTACCAAAAAAGAAGCCTAATATTTATTTGTTTACTTTATTAAACATTTCTTTCAACGCGCACATGCGTAAAGCATACATTACGCATAGTAAAAATTAGAAAATTGCAATCAGAAAACTATTTGATGTGTATTTGTGATATTTATAATGACGAGGAATTCGATTTAAATCATATCAAAGACGGAGTACATTGAGATGAAAGACTACATTTAGTAAGGAATTATAAACCGAATGAAATAAAAACATCTGGCCTGAAGATAAGGATATTGCTGACAGATCAACTTCCAGTTAATTGCGCGCTGCGATGCCCCCCCCCCCACAGAGCAGCACGAAATTGATAAACAGATTTCAGAATGGTTAGAGAAACAAAGGATATGCCTTTATCCATTGCAGCAATTCCACTTTTTGTTTGAGGGACATCAAAACATGCTTTCGCTTTGTAGATAGATCCTTTAGCAGCTCCAGAATCGGAAATTCTATTTGATATAATCGAAAGTTTAAGCTTACTTTTATAAAATTGCTCTAACAGTCTGGAAAAATTAATAAGCCGGATCCAATTCGAAGATTAAGGAACAACGCCATCTGCAACATTAACTGAAATAGATAATTAGATAATTTTAGCTTAGCTTATACTGTCCGTTATACATTAAAACGCGCATTATGCGCATGTGTGAATGCATTATGCGTTGACGCATGCGCAGAAAGTTTGTAGCTTTGAGGTGTGGATCATAGATCATTCCGGATCATGGGTGTCCAGATTAACGACTTTTGACTGTAATTTAATTTGGATCTACTAAGTATTCTTGCAGCAAAATCTGATTATTGCTACAAATATAAAAATTCTCATTAATTCATTAACATAGTTTGATTGACCAAACTGCTCTTTATATTAATAAAACATCTCAGATATTTTGGTGAAAAGAAGCTCTAAATTAAGCAAAGAAGCTAATTATCTAACAGGAAATGAAAAAATATATCTTAGGTAAACACTAGAATCTTTAACAAATAATGAAACATACTAGTTAAGCATACTGAAGCATCATAGAAAAGACTCATATTTTATGTGAAAGGAAATAAAAATGTAGATCTTTCAGAAAGCATTACATTAAGAAACTGCAAACTAAACACCTCTCCCTAAAAAAAGCAAATTATTTATCATATTTTTGATTAATTCCTGAATAAATAAATAAATATTGCATTTTTTTTTTTAAATCAAAGTATTTGCCTCTTTTCTCCTTCCGGAAAACTCTAAAACATAAAAAAGAAAATTACTGCATATCAATATCTACCCATCTAATATATGATGGTGCTCATAAATTAAGAGACGGACACATTTGAATTTTAGGATAAAAAAGGCCAATCATCAGTGATGGAAATTCCTAGTCAGTTTCAAGTGACTTGTGATGCAGATTTAATAAGCTGGCCAATTATTATGAAAATGTGTGGAATCACAGGACAACACAAGATTTCTAATTATTCATAATAGTTGAAGAGGAAATGATCCCATTGATCAGTATCCGGATTTATTACCGTGCTCAATCCATGATAAGATTAAAAATAGGAACAGACTTCGCAAAAGATACCATATCTTTTGGGGCCCTCGTTAAAAAAAGGAGCTTAGTTAAATCAGGAAATCAAAAA